TCTTAACATGAACTAGGATCATGCATGATTGCTAATGAGTTCTCTGTTTTGGCACGGAGTACGATGTAAGTATTTATGCTTTAGCATCTCGCATGAATGTGATTGTTAACATGACAGCATGCTTACCATGTGGCTATATGCTTATGTGATATACCTGCTTGAATGCCTGTGGATGAAGGTTGGATTACTTGAATTGGGATAATTCATTGAAATCCGCATTTTAGCCTACTTGCGAGTAGCAAACTTCAAACATTTCCAAACAAACGGATATGCAATGCTTTGTTCCAAATTAGGCGATCTAGTCAATCGGATTAAGAACGCATAATGTTTTCAAAACTAGATATCATGGTTAGTAGAGGCCGATTTTTTATCGAGCGAGCGGCGGTGCTCACGAAGTGACCTTCCCCAATCATACCCAAGTTCCCGAGCCGAGGCAACTTTGGTGATGATGGACACGTGGCCTTAAGCAACGAGTCAGGGTTTCCTAAATTCCCCCAAAATAAATATTTAGGTGGCGACTCTATGTCTGGCAAAGCAGTCCATGTTTGGCACTTCTTTCAAAAAATCTGTTTTCCAAAACGATTTGCCGAATTTGGACTCTTTAACAATTCATCGATCTTGCATTGTACTCTGTGAGATTAGATACAAGACCGTGACTTTGAGTCCTGAACTGTAGTGAGCCTCAAATGAACAAAACGGGATTTCCCTCCTAGGACGTTCGGGGACGTCTACAGTTGCGTAAATATTTCTTTTAGCGACAAACATGTTTGGTCGTGGAATGTGACAATTGGCGACCAAACTAAGAGATCGCAGAATGTCACAATTGGCGACCAAAATTTTTGGTCGTGAAATATGACAATTGACGACCAAACTAAGAGGTCGCAGAATATCACAATTGGCGACCAAAATTTTTTGTCGTAAAATGTCACAATGGGCGACCAAATTTGTTGGTCGTGGAATGTGACAATTGGCGACTAAGATATTTGGTCGGCAAAAGGTGACTTTTCGCGACCAAAATGTTTTAGCGACAAAAAAAATTAGTCGCAGTAATCATATATTTAGCGACCAAAAATTTAGTCGGTAAATCCAACTTTTTCCGACCAACCAAAATTTTAGTCGCGAATTACTTTTGCCGACCCTCAATTGGCGACCAAAGTAGCGACCAAAAATATTGGTCGCGGATAACTTTTACCAACAAAAAATAGGTTTTTAGCGATTAATTTTTTTGTTGTCAAAAGTGTTAATTCTTGTAGTGATATGGTCAGAGAATATAATAATATATCCACCAAATGTTGCATGGTCAATTTTAAACCAATGGTGTTTTCCTTCTCTTTTCCCAAACTCAAACCATCTCAGTTTTAATACGCAATTTATAATTATCTTAAAAAATAATAAATAGTAGCCATCTCATGAATTAGAATCCATTGAAACTGTATTTGAATTATAGATTTATATAGTATAATTTGAAAATAGAAGAGGAATGGAAAAGGAAAAAGATGAGAACAATACGAAAGAAACATAAGTTAAATTTTTCTTTATTTTTTTTTCTTTTTCCAAACTCCCATATAAATTTATGATTTAAATACAATGTAAAAATAAATATTTGAAAATTTTGAATTCAAATCCCTTGCTATCTAATGGGCAGAACCCATTTCCCAAACATAGAATTGCCAACATTGTTAATCATGAGTCATAACATATGATTTTTTCTCTATTATTATCTTCCATTTTCTCAGCAACCAAACGGAGAAAATGAGATAAGCAACATGTGCCAAAACTTAACTGAATTAAGAGTTTAATATACTCCTCCTGATCGTACATGAGAATTCAAAAAATGAAATAAGGAACAACGAAACAATAATTTTGAAAATAGAAAAATCTCTTATTATGGTCTTTCACATAGTAAACAGATGGTCCAACAAGCAAGCCAGTGAATCAAAGAGAGAATTTTCATATTGTAATCCAAAAAATTATTGAAAAATTAGATTTATTCTCATAAACTTAGAATAAATGTATATATGTACAAAATCAACAAACAAATATTGATGAACGAATTACAACCAAAAAAAAAAGGAAAGAAAAGAAAGAAGACTAAACTAAAGCTTGAGTAAACCCTAGTTTCAAGCTTTTGACATCAAAGGTTCGTCATCGTCATCGTCTTTTTCAATGGCTATTGAGCTTTATTTTCAGTTGGTAGCGACACCAAATCGAGCCATGAGACGTGGGTAAGTGCTGGCATGAGGCAAGGCATCACCGGCAAAGTTCTTATCTTGAAACGGACAGGGTGGTCCATTGCTGCCGGGGATGTTGGTGCAACCAGATGGCCCTGAAGGAGGGACAGGTACCCTATCAAGTGATGCCATTACCATGGTGTCTCTTTTTTTTACCACCCTTTTTTGTACTTCTTCATGCAATACCCTACTAGCTGTGCTTGGTTGGAAAAGTAGAAGAACAAGCATTAATATTACAACACTACTAAGAACCCTCATTTTTGTGTTAATTTTGAACAAATATGAGAAGAAACGATAATGGTGAATGCATGAAGGAAAGAGAGAGGGGATGTTTATATAGAAAGATTGAGAGTTTATTTATTTTTTATTTTTAAATTGAGGTTTTGACTGTTGACTACTAGGTTTCTTGGGTGATACAAATTCTATTGAATAGGTCATGAGGAATAAAGGTTTTTGTTCAAGTTGAATCCCTAGTTTTCGTTCTCATTTCTTACCAACTTCCTTCGTATTAAAGTATATCTATGGGTAGGATGATGTAGCATGTGATTTAAATATTGAAATGGTCTTTTTACAGATCAAAGAGTTGAAAAATCATGTTATTACAAAATTTAAGACTAAATGATGTGAAGTGACATTTTTAAAAATACAAGTCACTTTTTGATGAATTATTCACTTTTAATTGATTAAGTTAAGAAATTTCACGTCATTTTGTATTAATTTTATGTATAAATTTTACTGTTTTCATAACACTAGTAAAAAATTACTTACCCAAAAAAAAAAAAAACACTAGTCAGAGTTTGATTATTTCTTATCCTTTGTCGATTGGTTTGATGGAAAATTGGTCCTAGTTAGAGGAAGTTCTTAACACTTTATGGTTACTTGGGCTTGAATAGATTTGAAGTCTGATTTGAAGTGTTGGTGAGTTTGTTAAATTTTTAAGGAGATTTTATATATAAATTAATGTAAAAAATTGGTAAATATGAGGAGATGAGGTCACCACACAAGTCATTATCGGAGTCATTGCCCTCTCTAAACGGAACTCTCTCTCTCTCCCTCTCTGGCACATTTTAACTGGATAGGAATAGATTTAAGGTTGGAAATGGAGAATCCAACTAGGTTTGGAATGGGGTGAGGCAAGGTAATATACTAGATTCACTACAACATATAAGAGTTTTAGATATTAAATTTTTTAGTTTTTAAAAGTAAAAATCTTGTTGCAAAAAATATTTAGAGACCAATTTCTATCGTCGTAAGGATAGTCGCTAAAAATTCATCCCGAATAATCAAAAATAAGGCTTTTAGTTACAAAATTTTAAAAATGTCACTAATAAATACACTTCTAGGGACAAATTAATTTGTTCTCAAATGGTTTATTTTTAGAGAAGAAATTTGGTCCAAAAAAGATAATAATTCATCACTGATATCTAATTTTTGTTGCTAAAAATATAATGACACTTCTCTCAACAAAAATATTTAGTCCCTAAAAATAATTTTGCCCTTAAATTTTAGCCTCTAAAACCATAATTTTTTTATAGTGATTTGACCAGATTACATGTATTATTTTTGAAATATTCATACCCTTTTATCTCTTTACTCTACAAATTCACTGAAGATCAATGTCGATCAACTTTTCAAGTTTGTTTGCTCTGACTTTTATTAGTCATATGAAATTCATTGTCAAAAATGTACATTCTAAAACTAAACAGAAGAGGGTGAGGGCAAGGTGGAGGGGGTGGAGGGTGGATAAGCAAGCAAATATTCACTAGAGTGTGATTTGAAATTTAGTTTTGTTTTAGTAATTTTTTTATAAAATAAAAAAAGTTAATGTGTTTAGGAATAAATTTTTAGCGACTTTTCTAGTTATAAGAAAAAACTTGATTCATATAACTTACTTTTTGTCTTAAATTCTCATTCTATTAAGACCATTAAGAATACAGTGATCTTTTTACACTGATACTATGATAGTCTTTGACAATCCATACCAAACACAAGTTTGTGTGTTTAATTTTTAACTAACTTTTCAAATGAGTATGCTCGCCCCCTTGCTACCCCTAGGGAAACAAGCAGTCATACATGTACAAGTGTAAAAGATTTCCCAATCTACCATTTTTGTTCTACATTTGTCTCCTCCCTATCACTTACAGATGATTGTTGATTAGGTCAATTGTCTTCACCGTCTTATGCGCACTCCATACTCTCTCGGATTGTCTACCATAGACGACCATCAATAACCCCCCTTTTTTTATTTTTTTGCCTGACAATTATTCACTGTCAAACACTATTCAAATTAATCTCAATAATTTATTTTATAAGAATTTTATAAAAATAAATAATTCAAATCTATTTGTGACATAATAACGGCAATCCCCTGTGCAACACTGAATAAAATCAACGCTCCGTTTCTTTGATAATATTTTCTATCATTTGAAACAACATAAAATAAAAATCAACGAAAAGCATATTTTGTGATTAAAAAAAATAAATAAATCTACTTAGACATAAAATGCTTTTTACTTTAAAAAAACGTAAAATATTTTCCAAACTAAAATCTTACCAATAACACCGTACTATTGCCACTACCACCACACCCACCATCATTGCTGCTACTACCACCACCACCACACTTCCTCCACCTCTACCCCGCCATTGCTGCCACCACCACTAATACAACTAGTACATTAATTCCAGGACACAGCCAAACATAATAAAATGTTTTCTTCAAAAAATATTTTCTGAAAAAAGTATTGAAACCAACGGAACATAAAATGGTAGGGGAAGTAGAAATCAACAAAGCAAACCTAAAAATGTGGTTCAGATTAAATGAAATTTAAAAAGTTCTGAGCTTAGGGGTCGGCTTTCCATACTCAGAACCCTCCAAGACAAAGAAACACTGCAAAGCCACTTTTTGCAACAGCTAAGGCTGGAAGCAAAATAACAAAGAAATAAAAAAAAAGGCAGAATCACTCTTTACAAAATGTTTTCTTAGCCAAATGGTTACAACCTCACTCCAAATCTAAACAGCAACAACTTCCCTGACATGCAATTATTACACCGGATTATAGCCTCAATCCACTAATTCACAGCCAGTCACCGTCAATAGTTTCTTCTCAATGACCATTCGAAGGCCGGAATACAGTATAACCATTATCACTGCACGGCAAGTTTGAATAGTCTGGAATATGATATCTGTAGCCATCACCCCCATCTGTGTTCCTCAAGCTAAGATAGGATAGATCAGAACCACCCATCTGCCACTGGTTCGGAATCAATCCATCGATCTGCCCGTTTGCATAAGGCCGTTGATTTACTTGGGGAATCATATCCCGAAGCGGATCATAGTGGCTGCCTAACGAGCTGTACCCACGTTGGAACCCATCGTCATGATAACTTCGTGTTCGCTCAAAATTGCTAGAGCTCGTTGAGGGGGCCATGTCATTCGACATACCAATATCCCCAGGGAAAGTGAACTGCCGATTCAGATGGTGAGGTCCATTGCCAAAATTTTGAAAGTTCATGCTCGCCCTAGCCCCAAGCGCCATTCCGTGCTCATCGTCAAGTAGGTCATTGATTATGTCGAGGTGCGGAAACTCATCAGCAAATAAACCTTGGCTCTGACGTCCTGATGATATAGACGCCGGAAACTCAGTCGGGAAGTGATCCTGGGATCGGCTGTGTACAGGCTTGTAGAGATCAAGCTTATGATGGTTATGAATGTCGTCATGCATCGAAGAACCATAGTGTATGCTTCGGTTTCCGTCCCTTTGAGGAGGGCACTCCATCCATTGAGGTCCATTCTGCAACATATCATGATTCACCATTCCGAATGAAAGGCTTGGTTTTACCAAGTTCGGTTCGATCCTTTCAGAACTGTGGGGTAAAAACATTGGTGCCGACTTCATGTTGGACAGTTGTGGATACGACTGTAACTGGTTGACTGCAGAACTTGGAGACTGAGGTTGAGTGAAACCGGTGGAACTCGCCGAAACAGGAGTACCCATTATAGCATTTCGATAAGACTGAGGAACGTAACTGTGTGTCGCGGGTGACGGGTCCGGACCCAACCGCCCGGTTGCACTCACTGAACGCGCTAAAATTGGGGGTGTTTGAACCACGGAAACAACAGGAGTGGGTGGCTTAGGTCCCGGAATAATCGGAGCACTTAAGGGCCGTGACATGGTGGGCACTTGTTGCACTGAGGGCTTTTCGGTTGGTTTTGGAGCGGCATTTTTATGTGCATCAGATTTCAATGCAGGTGTAATATGAGATGAATTTATCGGCAGGGCCACTCTCTCTGCTCGTTGGGAGATGTCTGATGATGGTTTCCGAACCGAAACCGGATCAGCAGCACCGGGGATCTTTGATTCTGACTTCACCTTAACAGCATATGGCTGATTTTTGGAAGAACTGTTAGGAGAGGAAGGCACGGCCGTTGGCTTATCTTTTGAAGGTCCTTCCGTATCGACCTGATCTTTGACGCTCAGTTCTCTTTGCAGAGAAACCACTTCTTCTTCCTATTCACACAAAACAACAAAGCTTGTCAACTCTCATGAAAATCCAAACCCAAGGACCAAAAATGAAGTCAATTGAAACAAGGCAGCAATGCCTAAATGAAAAAGGAGAAGCAATAAAAGAACAAAGCCAACACATCATGGTCCATCTAAGAAGCAGAGACACATTTAAAAAAGTAACATTTCCGACACGATATGATACCCATTGGACACCTCCCAACAATTGTAAGAGACATATCCAAACATGTCATACTTTTTTTTAAAAAAAATTTCTACACTGGGATACGCTTCATATTCAAATAATACATGTATCTATCACTTTAGACACACACAAAACACATTATAAGTTTAAATAAATATTGGAATCCAATGGTGAAGCAAAACTAATGTATATTTATACCTATTCTCCCCTTTTAGATTTTAAAAATTATTTTGATTTCATATATGACATATAATAAATATATAAAATTATATATTTTACATATATCACATATCATGTCCTACATTTTTTAAAAATTTCCTTGTTAGCATATCCGTGTCATGTCTATATCGTGTCACGTGTCTGATTCTTAGCTTTCCATAATTAATTGCAAATTTCACACATATTTGCCTTATATTCAAAGCCCTTTCAGTTTACATATCCTTCAACTGGAAATTCTGTTACTTGATCGTGTCACGTGTCTGTGATTCTTAGCTTTCCATAATTAATTGCAAATTTCACACATATTTGCCTTATATGCAAAGCCCTTTCAGTTTACATATCCTTCAACAGGAAATTCTGTTACTTGAACGAAAGGAATGATAGGAATACCACCTTCTTCACCACATGCTGCTCAAGCTCCTTTATCCGATCCTGCAAGGAGAGTACAACAGCCTCGGACTCAACTTCAGCCTGGAAACTTCCACCATTCGGCTGTGCCGCATCTCTCATAGCTTCTGACGGCTGACTGTGCACTTCATTGGCCGAACCAGTTGCATCACTAGTTGCCCTGCCTCGCTGAATCCTTCCTCTACAAAATTGAACCAAATATATCACAATATAAAATAATCTTGGCAATGTGCCCCTACAACAAAGGAAGGGTAAATTTACCTGATCGGTGATTTTTGGCCTTTTTGGTTCAGAAAATTCCCTTTGTAAGGCCCATTCATTACCACCGATGGAACCGAGTCTGTGGAACACGTTGACGAACTATCATCCACTATAGAAGGGCAATATCGTTCGATCGCTCCATTTTGTACAGCTGAAAGGCCACTTACTCCGCTGCTGCTGGCAGCCTCGGTGGGGGGATGAACTTCCGATGTGTCAGTATCCCAATTGACAGGACTAGTGTCTCTGTCTTCTGAATCAGGCTGAAGTATCTCGGGAAGACAATCTGCTGAATCAGACACATCAGAAACATCTTCCAGTATATCAGCCTTTTCAAGCACAAGTTCTGCCTCCTCGATCGTGAAATCTTTCCTTTCATCACCCGGGCTTTCTTGTTGGAGTTTGTCTTGGATTGCTACACCAGGCTTGTCATCTCTTCCTTTATCCTTCCCCTTGCGATTATTTCTTTTTTGTTTTCCCTGCAGCATAGAATAAACAAGACAGTGCAACTCAATCCGAAGTCTTTAATAAATCTATGCAGTATACAAAAGATTAATTAGTTTCCAGTGAAAAGACAAGACCAATCATACATGACAGACCTGGTAAGTAAGAAAGGGCATAAATAACCACAAAACAAAAAAGGGTGACCCAGTGCACCAAACTCCTGCTAAAGGAGGGTTTGGGGAGGGTAAAATGTACGTAGCTTTATCCCCATTTCTGGATAGGCTGTTTTCGTGACCTAAACCAATGCCACCAAGATGCTAATGGTAAGTCTTTACCACTGGGACAAGCCGCCTGTTTAAATAACCACAAGAAAAGGATATTTCTAAATACCAATAATTGATTGCTGTCTTCACAGCCTGCAACTTGACATTTATCAGGAATGTCAGTAGCTATTGAACAACGTGATATGACCCCAAAAAACTCATAGGATTTACAAATGCAACATTTTTCCAGCCCGTCTGTTGTAATTTTAATTCTTCTAGTTTTTATAAACTAAATGATAAACATACAGGATTGAACCCGTCCTCTAGGCTAGTCAAGATAAGTGTAGGATAGCCATTCTGCTAGGCTTCCCCACCATGTTAATGGGCGCCCCGATCGCTGCTTGAAGTGGGGTAGCATAAGTCACTTCCAGTGAAGGGGTGAGCTGTTCTCGAGGATCTGCCACCTCGAGGACTGTGATGGCAAGAGTAACATATAAAACTTGAGAAGAATGGGACACCCTTTGACCTTATGTAGGCATTTGTGCCGTACATGACCTGCCACTTCATCACTTACATTGGGTTGGCTCCACATCACAAGGCATGACCTTCCTTAGCACCTTGTCTAGCTTCAGCACCTCACCTCTTTGTCACTCAGCTCAAGAATGACAACCCCAGCTACATAACCTACCTAGGGCAGAGGCAGTATATAGGAACCCACCCCCGGGCTCCGTGCCTCAATCTCGAACCCCTGAGTGACCCATGACACCACCTGGGATTACTAGGAATTGTGGATTGGTGACTAGAGTTGAAGGATAGTCAAAATTGCTGAGTCCACTCCCTCGAGGTTCCGACATCACAAATGACCACCCCGCAAGTTGTAAGTGCAAAGTCAAAGACCTTGCACTCTAACCAACCATATATAGGTTCCCATTCATCCTATATTAGCTCTTATTAGAGATGTAATATTGATATACATGCTATACATGCTTATTTAATGCTACAGAATTTATAATTCAACTTCAGATTTTTTACAATAGCAACTCCACTATACATATATACCATATAATACCAAACGTAATTGCAACAAAGAAAATGGATCACTGAAATGTATGCTTGGTAAAGGAAGACACATAACACCACAACATACCATGAAATAAAATGAACATTACATAGAATTGCCAATATATAGAGGTAGCATAGAAACCAAGTCTGACAAGTATAAATAAATTTAGATGTACTAGTGGGAAGCCATGATCAGAAGTTATGAAACTCATGACACTACTCTTTATATTGAATTTAAGATGTTTTTTGAAGAAAATAGTGATTACTATTTATTTTAGCAAGTTTGTAGTTTAAATTATATGCATTATAAAGAGATTGTTGTGTTGTTAAAGCATCCAGGCATATTTTTCCACGAGTACCTGAGTATTTGCCCCATGAACTGAGGATGGTAGGAATGAACAGAGTACTATCCTAACCTTTGGCATTATTTACCAAAGTGGATGCCCAACCAGCTTTCTCATGCCTAGTAGCCAGAGTCTTGAGTGTATCAGGAAGAGAGGTGAACAACACTGCCTTAGCAATTACTCATTAGGCAATACTCCACAACCAACAACCCAAAAACTCAAAAAGAGAAAATCTAACATCCAAAAAATAAGAAGAAACCCCATCGGAAAGATATGGAAAGAAAATATGAACTTCAGACTAAAAGCTACTAGCTCTAGAGATTCTTCTATTCCATTCAATAAAAAACTTACCGAAAGGCAAACGTATTTTATCCCTACATGGCAAATAAACAAATCCATTTAAACTCTGTTTTCAGAATCTTATAGTTCGTGATTCAATTCACAATTCGATTCGTAATTTATGCAGAAATTGATACAAAATTATGGGTGAATTTATTTCGGCACAAATTCTATTGCTCACCCATTTTGGGATAGAATCTATGGTAAATCGCACGATTCACAATCGATTCATTTTTTCTGATTCATACAATTTTGAAACTATCGTGCGCAACAGATTCCAGTCATCTTTCACCTCTTTTTGTTAGTGAAAATGAAACAGAGAACTTTTGGTAACTTGGCCTTTTTACGAGGTGAAAAAAGTTAGTGTTTGGAATATTTTTTAGTTGAATAGATAGATGCAAGGGAAAAAGTAATTGATTAATGTGTATGATGTGATATCTTGACTTTTTTGGCTTTATGATTTTTTTATCTTTTTGGCATTTTTAGCCAAAAGAGTTGCTAAACGGGGCCATAATACAACTTCTAAAAGAGTTTAGTAAGAAAATAGCACTAACTTACACATAAGTTGTTATTTTGGTGATTTGAGAGTTTTTAATAGGATCCAATCAAATATCTAGACAAACCCAACATGTTCTTAATCTTCATCTTTTAAGGATGTTTAAGGAACTTGCACCCATGAATTATTTATTGCTATTTTAATGAAATAAATATAGTTTAAAAGCACATGGATAAAGTCAGTTATAAATAGGGTTCCTAAGTCCATTTTTTGAATGCCAAGAGTCATCATATTATGGTTTTTGTATAATTTTATGAATGATTGGATTTGGACTGACATCTCTTGTTATGAAGGCAATGCCTTCATAATCATGTCCTTATATAAAAATTATTTGTAACCAATGTTAGCCGGACTTGAGTATAGGCGTCGGACTCAAGTACGTGTCCGGAAGTTCAATTCACAAGTTGTTCTAATTGTAGGATAGGGGACTCCACTAAAAAGTGTCCAAAAAGTGGATATATATACAGGGACACAGCATAAACATTGGACAACAATATTTTCCATCACAAACATATCCAATGTTGAAATAATAAAAAACTGATCTAAAATATAAAATATAATTACCTTCAATTCTTTTAATTAAAAGGTATCTATTAAGGTTAATTCCTACTTAATAAAGGTATCTATTGCTTGCTCTGTATATGGCATGATTTATAAGGGAAACTATAAAGCTTGAATTCTAAATTGGTATTCAAATTAGTGACCTTCCATATTCCTCTTCTTTCTTTTTTTTCTTTCTTTTTTTTTGATAAATTGACCTTCCACATTCTATATCTAACTTTCAAACATAATATTTAATTATAATAACTGGGTTTTTGCTCTGGTGTGGCAGGCCCCCCGATAATTTTATTACATATTTCGAAGGTCAAATTTAATTATAATGAATCACACATCATAACACGCTGAAAGTGGCCAACATTATGTACATGCCACACTATATTAAAACCTTGATTTAGGGCTTTAAAAAGTGTGGCACGTGGAAAGTAGGTTTTCTTGGGATATTGAAATGTCTAGAGGGAGAATCAGTAACGCACAAGTTCCTATCAAATTGTGAGAGAGAGAGAGACAGAGAGAGAGAAGATGAAGACGATGACCGGATGGGGGCTTGACGTGGCCTGGACGAGGAGGAGAGACAAATGGAGAGCATACCAAGTCCGATCTGTTTCTATGGCAAGGGGCTTGATCTAGGGTTTAACCTGGTTGGGTGATGACGATGAGAGAGAGAGAGTGCAAAGTCGGGAAACCTCAACACCATCAACTTGATTGTAAATAGTTCTTTTTGCTTTCCTTTGTTGTCATTGTGCTTCCTCGTTTTGTATGTCGGTCAATATTGTCTGTGATAACCAATTTTGCATCCAACACAGATCCCATACCTGCACCCTATGAAGCACGGACACCTCTCCGAAAGTCGCATACAAGTGTCCGACACATGTTGGACACGAACACGGGCCGGACACGCTCCGGACACATGTCAGACACGCTGGAAAGAGTTAGACATGCTGGGACACTTTGGATACTCTATGGACACGCTGAAGACACTAAGTATTATGTTTTTCAAAAAAAATTATAATTTTTGATTTTTTTTTTACTAAAATAGCATACCTAAGGTTGATAAATTTGATAAAATTAAATATTTGATATAAAATACATATTAAATATATAAAAATATACATATAATAAAAAAATAAAAATACATGTTTTGAACGTGTCTCCAACGTGTCGTGTCTAGCATTTTTGAAAATTTACATGTTCGCGTGTCCGTGTCGTGTCACATGTCTGTGTCCGTACTTCTTAGCTCACACCTGTGTCATGTCGACATGGGTACTTCCTCTCAAATGGCCGAGTCCATGTAACACAATTTATAACATGTGCCAAAATCAATTTATTTCATTTGTTCAAATATATAATTGTTTATGATCAATTTTTATAGTTTGTATTGAATCTTAATGATTCTCAATTCGCAAAATTAAGATTTCGATTCACAATACGATTCTCAATTTGACAACTACACCAAAAGAGCTTGATTCACAAACCATAACAGCCTAACAGGTCAGGCTTTCAGGTTTTGTGCAAGAATGTTTGATTTTAAACTCAATTATTTTAGTGATACAATTTCATACTTTACTCCAACCCTAACAGTTTTGACCTACATAACACTATATTGACTCTATCCTATCAATACTTTTCCAAACATTTTTAATTAAAATCAAGTTGGAACAAAAACAATCGGGTCGGGTAATTTTGCTATCCCTAAACCTAACTGCAAGTATTCCATTCTCCCTAGGCCAACAAATCCGGTTCATCCTACAGCATGGTTACTTGAAATTCCTCTGCCAAGTGCCAATCAGTCAAGAGACAGTCATGTTCTAGCTTTTCAGAGCCTGTCACTACACAAGGACTTTCAGAAGCAACATGAAGATCAGAGGACACTAGCAAATTAAGTGACCTCACACTTTCAGAGAGATACAAACCATTGCCAACCATGTGCTCTACTCTCCAAGTCTTTCTTGCACACACTCAAAAGCAATCTAACGTGACATATTAACTAAAAACCATACACATCATGATACACAACTCACCCAATTGCTTCAAACCCAGACACAGTGCATACAAAGACAGTTTTCTGTAACATTAATTTTGTTAATTCCCATAAGGAGTATGTAACTTATGTGTAGTTATCAAACCTGCTTTTTCTTTAACTTCTTTTCCTTTTCAGCAGCACCGCGTTTTGCTTTCTGCTCAGTTTCAGCCAGCCAGGCTGCCTCTTCACGTATGAGCTCCTCTTGCCTTTTCAAAGCAACAGCCTCGTTATATGCAACTTCAATTTTACTGCTAAAACAATAAGGGAAAATAAGAGTATATATAAATGGAAAATTGAAAACAGAGGTTGGATTAATTCACCACATAGAAGATTGCAACACTAAAATCATACAATAACAAATCAGTCCCAAGATTCCAATAGTGTTATAGTATCAGCCATAGGATATAGTTAAGTTTTAACATGTAAATATCAAACAATAACTAACTTCACTAAAAACGCCACTTCATTCACATAATATTCTTTTTTTCTCTCTTGGTCAGACACATAATACTTCACTACAAACAAATGAGGAAAAATATGGAAAACCACAAAAATGTTTGATCATTCCAAAAAATGAAAAAACAAAAAACAAAAAAAGAAAGGCATCATCTAAAACACCAATTTACCTTAATTAATGTAGTTACCTCTCACCAAAAAACACAAATTATCCACTTCTCAAAGTAGAAGAAGAATCATATTTTGACAATTTGAAAGACCAAGACTCATACCTCCCTCAATCAGTTGACACTCAAATTAAAAAATAAAACACTATGAAGTTATCATTTATCTAGAGAGAACTTAAATGTTAGTTGAAATGGAAATAAGATTTTTGCACCAACTTTATCACTTTTTGGGGAAAAGGACAAGGACAAATAGTTTTTCGCCCAAGTTAAATAAGAAAAGAACTTTACTGAACTTGGCACCTTCCTACTCTGAGCTGGGGTATGTGATTAGTAACCAATGAGACTACAGTAATATTATCAAAAAAGTAAGCGAATGTACTGCTAGCTAGTGTGTGTGTGTGTGTGTGTGTATACCTTAAGGAAGTGAGTGTAATTTGCATTTATAATTTCCAAGATTATAAAGCTTGAAGATGCACAATCAACGTAATCAACTGCTGTCTAACTACATTTATCTCCATAGTATTACATTGATGGGTTACCTGAATATATGGGCTAGGACAAATATTTCAATGGTCCTACGACCTAGTTCAGTAAGACGCCTTTCATCACGCTCAATGGAGTCCTTGTTGAAGTCCTCACCAGAACCCCCATCCTACAAGCAAGAATCGCAGAACCAGTGAATGAGTAAACAGTTTAATATGTTGAGAAAATATTAAAATATTGGCACAAACATACAAGCATAAGTAAGAACTCAACATTCAAAAAATTATGTGATCAAATTTGCCAGATATTTTAAAAGTAACCCAAAAAGATGAATATGCTATTACTTATTCATGAGTAGAGTACATGTCCTTCAATGATTTCACTTGTCAATAGTGCATCAATAGAACCAAGATACTGATTGCTTAAATTCATATAGAGTATATCATACTACTATATTCATCGGTAATATGTGCATCAAAGAGAATATTGTACTACTATATTCAGCAGTAATCAAAATTACTTCCGTTAAGGACATAGACGAACGTTTCTTAAGTTCCTGAACCACTGACCAATTACAGACACAATAGGAAATTCTGTCAGTAAAGCAAATTCTGTTAACAGTAAAGCAAATTCTGCCAGACGGCTCTTTTGCCCATATGCAGTAACAGAAAAAGAAAGGCCTTAATGTCAACAAGAAGGGATAAGAATGAACATGTTTTAGGCATTCAATTCCATCTAAAGCCATATCCTCCACTGAATACTAAAATATCCTTGTCATAGTTCCGCCCCACTGTTTTAACACTTGGATAAAAATCGCATCTCATCATCCCTGTCACCACCATCTCATAAAGTGAACCATAATGATCTAAAAAGAAATTTCCCATTTTCTACTACTGTTTGTTTTTACCTTCGTCACAGGTTATGCAATAATTTGGAATTTAAAATTTCTTATATTTTTCTCAAACTCCATCTTTTATTCAAAAACCTTACATCTGCAACATTATCTAATACACATGCGATCTATCAAATTTCAATCTTCTGCTACATGAGATATAGCGCATTCAATCTATCAAATTTCAATCTTCTGCTACATGAGATATAGCACATTTCATAAATAACACCCTTCTTTGTATTTGTTATAAATTATAATAATGTGCTCAGGTAACAGATAAGTCACATAACAGCAGCATAAATGCACAATCTAGAATATTTAGTTTTATTTCTACTAATTTTAAACCCCTTTCAACTGGAGTACTTCTCTCTTAACATTGTCTTAATGTCTTCATCTTATCGACACTAACACAATGTCTTGTCAATAATTTATACAACTTCATCAACTATTATCACATTGTCAATCTACATTTCTCAATAATTAATACCACTTAATCTCCAACAGCACAATGTCACATAATATCCAATAGCCTACCACTCCACATTTAAAGCAACACAACCCAACAAAATTGGTTGACAATCTCTATGGAAGACTTCTGAAAGAACCTTCTTAAGCCTAAAGTTTTAGCTAGTAAATAACTCCCAATTAATTGGTATGCAGAAGATAAATAGAGTGGATATTATATTTTCAAGGAATTATTGCCTCAAAAAACCTAAATGTCAAATAACATAAATTAATCTTGAAGTTTTGGAAATTTTTAAAATTTTTGGTTGTACCCATGTCCCAATCAAGACTTGAACCATGCAACCACCCCTTTGGGGGTGGCAAAAATATACAACTAAAGCTACTAGGCAAGCCTCCAACATATCATCGCTTCGTTTTCTTAGACCCAAAAAAATATAAATGCAAATATAAATGCAGAAGATAAATAGAATGGATATTATATTTTCAAGGAATTATTGCCTCAAAAAACCTAAATGTCAAATAACATAAATTAATCTTGTAGTTTTGGGAATTTTTAAAATGTTTGGTTGTACCCATGTCCCAATCAAGACTTGAACCATGCAACCACCCCTTTGGGGGTGGCAAAAATATACAACTAAAGCTACTAGGCAAGCCTCCAACATATCATCGCTTCGTTTTCTTAGACCCAAAAAAATATAAATGCAAATATAAATCAAAGAATTGCACAAGATCCCGGAGTCAGTGAAAGCATGATCAAGCAAAATGATTATGAGCCAATATATATCAATATGTTTTCTTTTTCTTTTTCTTTTTTTGGTCACGATAAGGAAGGGCAATAGGGGAAGGGAAGTTGCATTCACAGCAATAAGACTCAAACCCAGGCTTCACACCTGGTAATATTAATGTACAAGACTGCTTGACCAACGCGTTGAGTGTTATTATCTATGGTTCACTGTGCGTTAACCAAAATCAAAGTGTAAACTTCATTTCAGTCATGATCTGCGAGAAATAAAGACTAATATGGAAGACCTCTATGGGAAACTACAGTGTTAACACGTTAACATGAAACAAAGCGTTGAGTGCACCCAAGTATCCACACTAACTGCAACACATAATAAAAGAGGAACTGGATGAAATTTCTTACCCAAAACATAATGACACAATTTATCAGATACATTAAACATACACAGCACCAATGGTTCATATCAAAAGTTACACCCTCAGTTTTTAACTACTATTTTGACAAGTAAAAAAAGTAGGCAGTTTTTAATCAATAAATGTTTTGTACACTCGAAAGACAAAAAAACAAAAACAATTACATGATTCCATAAATTTTTAACACCATGTTCACTAAGCTCACCTTTGTACGGTTCTGAGGACCCTTATCATCCTTTGGAGGCAAGGGTTCCAAGGCAGCCCTCTCAAGTAGTAGTAACACATCATCCACCAAAACAAATATATCTTTCTCTATGCGAACAATAGGAACCGGCAATTCTTCTGCATCCTGTAATTTCCCCCTACCTTTCTTGCTCTTGGTCTGGCCTTCAAGAGCCTTCAGTCCACTGTACAGGGAATCCATTACCAAGGTAGAAGTTACTTCCTTTTCTATAAAGAAGTTCTTCACCACAACTCTCAAAATTGCATCAGTTTTCTCCCTGGACATACGGCGCCTAGCATTTTGGTCAATCCCTACCCAGAAAGCACAAAAGCTGCAGCCATCACAAGTAATCTGTTATTCTGGAATTAATAATACACTGACTGAAAATGGTGTAGAACCAGATCACATGAGAAAACAAAAAGATGAAGCATAACAGACACAAAGTTAACAAGCTTTAAATAGACAAAGAAGGAAGAAAGAAAATAGAAAAGAATAAATTTTTAGGACTGTAGCCTATAACCAACGAACATTAAATTTAAAGAATTGAAACCATAAGATGTCACTCCACTTAAGCAGTTTTAAAGATCTGAAAATAAAAAGCCCACATTTCTCTTCACCACAACTCTCAAAATTGCATCTGTTTTCTCCCTGGACATACAGCGCCTAGCATTTTGGTCAATCCCTACCCAGAAAGCACAAAAGCTGCAGCCATCACAAGTAAATCTGTTATTCTGGAATTAATAATACACTAACTGAAAACGGTGTAGAACCAGATCACATGAGAAAACAAAAAGATGAAGCATAACAGACACAAAGTTAACAAGATTTAAACAGACAAAGAAGGAAGAAAGAAAATAGAAAAGAATAAATTTTTAGGACTGTAGCCTATAACCAACGAGCATTAAATTTAACGAATTGAAACCATAAGATGTCACTCCACTTAAGCAGTTTTAAAGATCTGAAAATAAAAAGCACACATTTCTCTTCACCACAACTCTCAAAATTGCATCAGTTTCTCCCTGGACATACGGCGCCTAGCATTTTGGTCAATCCCTACCCAGAAAGCACAAAAGCTGCAGCCATCACAAGTTATCTGTTATTTTGGAATTAATAATACACCGACTGAAAATGGTGTAGAACCAGATCACATGAGAAAACAAAAAGATGAAGCATAACAGACACAAAGTTAACAAGCTTTAAACAGACAAAGAAGGAAGAAAGAAAATAGAAAAGAATAAATTTTTAGGACTGTAGCCTATAACCAACGAACATTAAATTTAAAGAATTGAAACCATAAGATGTCACTCCACTTAAGCAGTTTTAAAGATCTGAAAATAAAAAGCCCACATTTCTCTTCACCACAACTCTCAAAATTGCATCTGTTTTCTCCCTGGATATACGGCGCCTAGCATTTTGGTCAATCCCTACCCAGAAAGCACAAAAGCTGCAGCCATCACAAGTTATCTGTTATTCTGGAATTAATAACACACTGACTGAAAATGGTGTAGAACCAAATCACATGAGAAAACAAAAAGATGAAGCATAACAGACACAAAGTTAACAAGCTTTAAACAGACAAAGAAGGAAGAAAGAAAATAGAAAAGAATAAATTTTGAGGACTATAGCCTATAACCAACGAACATTAAATTTAAAGAATTGAAACCATAAGATGTCACTCCACTTAAGCAGTTTTAAAGATCTGAAAATAAAAAGCCCACATTTCTGTTGATTAACCCAAAACAACAAAAATAGAAAAGAATGTCAAAACCTAGAGCCATAAGAACTAAAGATATTATTAATATTGGGAGTCTCAAAATATCCTCTCTTTCATGAAAGAATATGTCATTAATATGTAACAATTACAAAAGCAGATAAACTCTACCTTGACCATCTAGCTTTATCTTCTATCAATTTCCCAAGCTTGCTTCTTCTTTCTTCCACAAAACGGCAACAAATTTGCTCTACATTTGTCAAATATACCCGAACAAGTTCTCTCCTATACTGACAATCAAGGCAGCGAAAGGGACGGTCTGCTCTCTCCCTACAAACCAAAAGTATAACTTGGAATCAATAATCACAATGATTAACCCTTATTAACACTAGTAATAACAGAACCACTTGATCACTATAGCCAGAATGAAACATATAGGAAGGAAAAATAACTCTGCTGGAAAAATAATTACTGAAAGAAGGGGATAGCAGTTCTCAATCATAGTTGTGAAAGCAAAAGCATTACGGGAGATGAAAGTTTTATGATTCTTTGTTTCTTAGCAATACAAATATGAAAATGGTTAAACACAAACCAAAAGCATATCTTGGTTCAAGAAGTTCCAAGAAGACTGTCCGAAATACCTTAGTGGCTTATCTTAGTACCAAACTTACACATAACCCCTCTGGTTCAAGGGCTGAAAAGAAATGTGGTTCGAGATCATGCCTAGTGTAGAAAGGGAGGGTTAAAATCTCTTTCTGAATAAATGAGCACAGCCTAGACTGAATCTGTCGCTCGGGGAAAAAAAGGGGGAAGAATGCCAGGTAGAGAGAGTGCTTATGCCGGGGCCTCAAAGAGGCCAAGTGGGAAGATTTAGGGAAGAAAAAGAACATTAACCATTCTCAGCAGCATAAGAATTCCTAAGCCATAGTTAATAGATGAGGAATATTATCCCAAATCATATTTCATTGGTTCCAAAACAGAATAACATGATTTATTAAGATGACTCATAAAAGACCTGATGACTTGGACTTGAGCTTTAATAATGAGAGTATCAGCATCAATAAACCCATCTAACACTTTAGATAGCTCCATAAATTTTTTCCATCCCCAGTCATGCTCTTTCTTCCAGAATCGATGTAACGTATCTGCGAATTCAATTATAAGTCATTAGTGCTGGACCAATTAGAAACAGAAACTCCGCAAAGTTTGCCAATACATATCCAACCAACCAGAATATTTGGATTTCTTAGGATCTTTATTCACCACAGCTATAGTGAACTGTGCAAAATGACTCCATCCTATTTTAACCAACAAGAAAAAGAACAACAAAAAAGTGAGATCAACTAGAAAAGGACGAAAATTGATTATCAAGACAAATTATAAATAATTATGTATTAGCAAACCTGGAAGAAGCTTGTCATGATTAGCCACACACAGAAACAAAGAAAGATGATTGCAGACATCACAACCTTGAGGGTATATTAAAATGTACCTGCAGCCATAGGAAGAAGTTTCAATTAGAACATACAACGTGAAGCAGTTTTCCACACCATAATCATTGATCTCACAACCCTCAGCATGCCCACATATAACAAGGAGAAGGGCACAGTGGTCAAATGGCTATGAGAAAAATATTCTTACTCTTTGAAAATTGAAATTGCACAAATTTTTCGGGCTGATGAATGAGTGAACAAGTAGGTCGAATTTCAATTTCAGCCAAGCATTTTTCAAAGATACTACAAACCTAACCAAATAAGATATCCAAAATGTGATGTGGCTGTGGACCTGAGGTCATGTTGATTTGTCATAACACGTAGGCATCCTCTTAAATGTAATCAACATAACAAAATTCCAATTCAATCTGACAATATCTATCAAACAACTTCTGTGCATATTCAGAACTAGTAAAAGTTCCAATGCCAACCCAGCACATGGGATATTCTTTTCAACCAGAACTACTGATTGGAAAATCACATGCATGTTCGCATACAGCAAGCATGAAAGTACCAATCTGCATAAAATATATCCATACAATACAGTGAATAACACTGATTTCTTTTTGTAAAAGATACCACTAAAGAATGGTACAGTTGAAGTACATAACAATAATAATATTGTATTCCAAAAATGAGTTCTTTAATAATGATAACAGCAACCATAAAAATAAACCAAATAAGCACAAAGGAAAATGCATGTTTTACAAACCATCTGTAGCCGCCGACCTCAAATGCATTACTACGAAGTTCTCGCTTGTTAATCTGTGAAAATTTATCTATCTTCCATGTATACTTTCCATATAACTCAGAAGGTTTTGGTCCTGCAAAGTAATAAAATAGCAAGTTGAAGTTAAACACATAGCAGATGCATCATGTGCCAAACCAGATATGACAGATTAAAAGCATTCGATGGGAAAAACTAACTCCGTCGGGGTTGCTTAACAACTCTGCTGGTCCCAAGCCCCAGCAAAGGAGAAGGGTTGTGTGTTAGTGGCCGACAACCAACACGTAAAAAAACCGCTCGGATCCTTTATGACATGAAGCCTAACACTTTAAACCAATTAAATGGTAGGTCGTTCCCTTTAAGTGACACATTGCGCCTGCCTCTTGGTGTTTCAAAAAGTGAGCAAGGGACGCCGCATCAACGCCTAGGTGCGGTGAAAAATGGCCAAAGGTTTCTGCATTTTTCTAGATGAGCGCAGATAAAGAAGCTAGTCCAAGATTATAGGTTTAGGATAGTCACAAGGTATATAGGAACTTTAACTAATAAGACTATGAAATTGGTAAATGTCATGATTAGGAGGAGAGGTAGTATAACTTGCGTACAAGAAACTACGTGTACGAGTGAGAAAACTCGGAAAATAAAGGATACCGGTTTTAAGCTATATTATAGTAATAAGGATAAACACGAAATAGGGTAGGAATAATAGTTGTCAAGAGTCTTGTAAAAAATGTAGGTTACGTTTGGTAGAGTTTTGTAAATATGATTTGAGAATATGAGTTGTATTTTGAGTTTGTGAGTTGTGAAATTATGATTTGAGTGTAGAAAATTTGTTTGGTTATAGTTTTTGAATAGAGTGTTGAATTGAGTGTGAAATTGAGTCTTGAAAGTTTGATTTGACATATGAAGTAAGAAAATTTGCTTGGTTATGAGTTTTGGAAAGAGTTTTCAAAATTTAATTCAAATTGTTATAACTCATAACAAAATACACTACTATCACACTATTGAAAATTCTGATCAACACTCATAACCAAACTCTTTTTAAAATTCAATTAAAAAAATTTATTATTAACAGGAAATAACATTAATCAATTTTTTAATTGAAAATACTACAAAGGAAATAATTTTTTTTCAAAATAAATATTCAGAAAATTTAAATCATAAATATTTAAAAAATCTAAAAAATTTAATAAGTAAAAAATTAAAATACATATTCAAAAAATTTAAATCGTAAAAATTTAAATAATTTAAATATTCAAAAAATTTGAAAATTTTAAAATGTTAATATTTTAAATTTAAAAACAACTCTCTACACTCAAATCGCAACCAAATACATAAAACAAAATTCAATTAAGAAATTATTTTTAAAACTCATAACCAAACACATAATTCAAAACTCCATACTTCTTTCACAACTCTGCACTCAAATCATAACCAAATACATAACAAAAAAAATTAAAATATTTAAAAATATTTTTATAAAATAGAGTTTGAATTTATTTTTATAAAATATTTTAAAATTTAAAAAATTAAAATCGTAATATTTTGAAATTAAAATATTTAAAAATATTTAAAAAATTAAAAAAATCGTAACATATTTAAATATTAAAATATTTAAAATTTTAACAAAATTAAAATAATTTGAAAATATTTAAATATTTAAATATTTAAAAAATTGAAATATTGATTTGAATTGAGTTTTGAAAAGTGTTTTGAATTATGTGTTTGATTATGAGTTTTGAAAAGTAATGATTATGTTTTGAATTGAGTTTTGAGAAATGAGTGTAGAATTATGATTTGAAAACTCAAAACAAACAACACACTCAAATCAATTGGTGGAGCTATAATTTGAGTACATAACCAAACGGAGCCGTAGTTGTGGTCATTAGGAAAGGTAATAAGATTATGTTAGTTAAACTAGTTATTGCAGAGAATATAATGAATATTATTAGTGCATATGCCCTCCAAGTAGGATTAGATAATCAGACTAAGAGAGTTTTTTAGAACCAAATGGATGAGGCATTACAAGAAATACCCGTAAGAAAGAACCTAGTTATAGGTGGTGATTTCAATGGCCATATAAGAGTAGATACACTAGGTTATGAGAAAGCACATGGTGGGTATAGTTTTGGTGATAGAAATAAGACTAAAGAGAGTATTTTAGTTTTTGCGTTGGCTTCTAACCTAATGACCGCCAATACTATGTATAAGGAGAGCGGAACATTTGATAACCTTCAAGAGCTTTCTACAACATAATCGATGATGTGGCCCCACAATTTTTGAAACATTGGCGGGAGTTTATTGGAGCTCAACGGAATTTTTTTTCAAATTGTAAATATACCTGCCCAAAGAAAATAAAGAGCGGGATTCCAAGTATTATATTATGCAACCCCGGAGCCGATTCTAGTTACAAAGAGTTTTTGGAAAAAAATGAACACGCCGGGCTTAAAGCGGGATTCCAAGTATTATACTATGCAACCCCAAAGCCGATTCTAGTTACAAAGAGTTTTTGGAAAAAAATGAACACGCCGAGCTCAAAGCGTGGACGATTATGTTTCCAATAAACTCCCGCCAATGTTTCAAAAATTGTAGGGCCACATCATCGATTATGTTGTAGAAAGCGTCGTCCTTGTGGTCCCTCAAATCGATATGGCCAAAATAATAATTATGCGGTCCCAAAGACCGGGTCCAACATGCTTTCCCAATTCTAGATGGGCCTTCAATTATAATGCTCTTGGGCCTGTGCGGTCTTTGGGCTTCGTCTGTTATATTGTCTGCAGCCCATTGTTGTATGGCTGTTGGAACGATCCATACTGTGTCTGTAAATGGATGCACATACGGCAATGGTGAATTAAATGAAATCCGATCATAATTGGATGACAACTTGTCATAATTTAACCAGAAACATTTTGGGTCGCCATTTCGTACCAGTGCTAGTGCTTCGTCCTTGGTGCCGACGGCAAGTGCGTCGCGATATATATTTTCTTTGTTACTCTGGTTAGCGCAGCGGCCCCTCTCACGAAATTCACCCCATTCCGTGTAATCCCCGTATTTAGAGATGTATTCCAGCACATTCTGATGCTTGTAGGCACCTTGTACATTCGGATGGAAATGGCGACTAGTTCGATCGTGCGTAACATCGAAGAACCGTTCATCCACAGTCTGAAAACGGTATGGAAATTGGACAAGAGTTTTGAGAAATGAGTGTAGAATTATGATTTGAAAGCTCAAAACAAACAACACACTCAAATCAATTAGTGAAACTATAATTTGAGTACATAACCAAACGGAGCCGTAGTTGTGGTCATTAGGAAAGGTAATAAGATTATGTTAGTTAAACTAGTTATTGCAGAGAATATAATGAATATTATTAGTGCATATGCCCCCCAAGTAGGATTAGATAATCAGACTAAGAGAGTTTTTTGGAACCAAATGGATGAGGCATTACAAGAAATACCCGTAAGAAAGAACCTAGTTATAGGTGGTGATTTCAATGGCCATATAAGAGTAGATACGCTAGGTTATGAGAGAGCACATGGTGGGTATAGTTTTGGTGATAGAAATGAGACTAAAGAGAGTATTTTAGTTTTTGCGTTGGCTTCTAACCTAATGGCTGCCAATACTATGTATAAGGAGAGAGGAACATTTGATAACCTTCAAGAGCTTTCTACAACATAATCGATGATGTGGCCCCACAATTTTTGAAACATTGGCGGGAGTTTATTGGAGTCCAATGGGATTTTTTTTCAAATTGTAAATATGCCCGCCCAAAGAAAATAAAGGACGGGATTCCAAGTATTATATTATGCAACCCCGGAGCCAATTCTAGCTACAAAGAGTTTTTGGAAAAAAATGAACACGCCGGGCTCAAAGCGTGGACGATTATGTTTCCAATAAATTCCCACCAGTGTTTCAAAAATTGCGGTGCCATATCATCGATTATGTTGTAAAAAGTGTCATCCTTGTGGTCCCTCAAATCGATGTGGCCAGAATAATAATTATGCGGTCCCAAAGACCGGGCCCAACATGTTTTCCCAATTCTAGATGGGCCTTCAATTATAATGCTCTTGGGCCTGTGCGGTCTTTGGGCTTCGTCTGTTATATTGTCTGCAACCCATTGTTGTATGGCTGTTGGAACGATCCATACTGTGTCTGTAAATGGATGCACATACGGCAATGGTGGATTAAATGCAATCCGATCATAATTGGATGACAACTTATCATAATTTAATCAGAAACATTTTGGGTCGCCATTTCGTACCAGTGCTAGTGCTTCGTCCTTGGTTCCGACGGCAAGTGCGTCGCGATATATATTTTCTTTGTTACTCTGGTTAGCGCAGCGGCCCCTCTCACGGAATTCACCCCATTCCGTGTAATCCCCGTGTTTGGAGATGTATTCCAGCACATTCTGATGCTTGTAGGCCCCTTGTACATTCGGATGGAAATGGCGACTAGTTCGATCGTGTGTAACGTCGAAGAACCGTTCATCCTGCGTCTGAAAACGGTATGGGAATTGGACAAGAGTTTTGAGAAATGAGTGTAGAATTATGATTTGAAAGCTCAAAACAAACAACAGACTTAAATCAATTGGTGAAACTATAATTTGAGTACATAACCAAACGGAGCCGTAGTTGTGGTCATTAGGAAAGGTAATAAGATTATGTTAGTTAAACTAGTTATTGCAGAAAACATAGTGAATATTATTAGTGCATATGCCCCCCAAGTAAGATTAGATAATCAGACTAAGAGAGTTTTTTGGAACCAAATGGATGAGGCATTACAAGAAATACCCGTAAGAAATAACCTAGTTATAGGTGGTGATTTCAATGGCCATATAAGAGTAGATAAACTAGGTTATGAGAGAGCACATGGTGGGTATAGTTTTGGTGATAGAAATGAGACTAAAGAGAGTATTTTAGTTTTTGCGTTGGCTTCTAACCTAATGGCTGCCAATACTATGTATAAGGAGAGAGGAACATTTGATAACCTTCAAGAGTAAGTCAATTAGGAGCCAAATAGATTACTTTCTAGTAAGAAAAATGAACAATCTAAAATGCAGCGATTGTAAGGTGATTCCTGGAGAGAGCTTGATGTCTCAAC